AAATCTTTCTTAGTGAAAGCATTTCCTCACAGTCATTTTCATGATGGAGGGAATCTTATGACACATAGATTTTAATGGTGTATGTGTTCCTATCCATGTGAATTTGTCAAAACAAAAGTTTACGACAAATTCAAACTCATATGGACCAAACTTTCTTAATCTTGATTTCTTGCCTTATGGTAACACAACTACCCACCATGTCTTCTAAGTAGTTAAGCACCTCACCCTTTCCTATCAACGTACTTTCCATTGATCAAGGTGCCTGCCTTTTATGCGTTCAAATGAGAACTTATAGAACTCATATGCATAATTAACTCAATTGGAACGACACAGAAGCAATATAGTGTCAACACGATAGGTTGTAAACCTCAACTCGTGTTCTAGTGATGATCAATAAGGTCTATTTTTATTTGTTCTTGAAACCTTTCAAGACCATTAAGACTCCCACTGACTCCTCGACATATAAGATTCTCTTATCAATAAACATTTCTTGACAAACAAATATTCAAGAGTTAGTGTAGTTTTTATCAAAACACTTCATAAATAGGTCCTAGTTGGTCTTTGTCTTATCCAAGACATCACAACTTTCCTCATTTGATGAATGTTATAAACCTTCTTAATACTTGTCACTCATTGTCACAATCTTAATTCTAAGACTTGTTTGGAATGAAGTATGATTGACTTCTTGATTTTAACTATTTCTTCAATTCTTGATTCCTCTTCTTAGACATACAATTGTACTAAGACTCACTTAGAGGATCAATTGAGATATGGTTCTTAATCATTAAGATCTATCATAAAGCATAAAAGGTACTCTCCCTTCTTCTTAGAATGGAGAAACTTTTATCTTTCTGCCTACTTGATTCTTCTTATTCGTTGTGCCATTGATTTAAACTTTTTCAATCAATTCAGAATTACACTTAATCTTATAAGTATAATCATATTTACTAAATCTTTAGTAAATCATGACGAATATCTTTGTTACTCTTATGGTGGACTGGATCAATACACAACTTTGTGTACTCGATCTCCTAGTTCTTCACTTGACACTTTGTCAATGAATTAGTCTAATTTCCAAATATGAAATTTCTCATTCATCATGCAACCAAGTTGCATGATTCCAAGTTTCTGTCCAATTGAAACTTGGGCGATGAGAAACTCTCCTTATTTGGTAAATTTTCGACATTTCCATAATTAAGAATCAAACCCATTATTGCTAATAATAGAAATATTCAAACATTAATTTTTCATACATGCCATTGCAAGGATAAATAAATAATATAAAGTCAAAATTTATTTTATTGCGGAAAAAATTTGTCCTTACAATGAAATTCTTTGAAAAACTACGCTAATGCATCTTTCTTAGCAATCTAATTCGAACTCTAAGTAGTAGCTCAAGAATCTAATCTTCAAGTAATGCGATCGAAATCCATTCTTTCACGGTTAGATTCTGCTCACTTCTTCCCTTAAGCTTCCTCTCCTTTCTTTGATCCTACAAAACATCAATCTTATTATGTATTATGAATCTAGAATAGAAGCTTAAAAGAGTTAGTCAATGAATTTTACCTAAAGCAGAGCCATACGTTTTGACTCTCCCATCTCTTAGATCTCTTAGGTAAATAGGGCAGCTTCATCTCCAATGCCCCTTCTCTTGAGAATAAAACCAAATTGACTCTTTTGGAACATGACATGAAACTAGTTCAGGCATTGCCTTTTTCTTATGATCAAACTTTTCGATCATAGCATGTCTTTCGTTGCCATTGTCTATATCTATAGAGGTCTTGAAGGCAAATTCACCAATCAACTTTGCTTTTTTTTTTTCACGCCAAACCATTGCTGATTCAGCAGCAATAAGCATATTGATGAGATCTATAAGGGTCACGTTGCAGTTCATCATATAGTACTCTCTTACGAACTCACTATATGAGTTAGGAAGTGACTGAAGAGCCCACTCAACAGCCATCTCCTCACAGACAATGGATCCCAACATTCTTAACCTATCAATATGTGACTTCATCCCTAGGACGTGTGCACACACCGACTTTCCTTCTTTATGTTTACTTGCCAAATGGGCTTTAGTGAGCTTGAACTTTTCAAGCCTTCGAACTTGTGGGTTAGGGAGAATAATTGGAGGAGGTGGAGGAAGAGAAGCATGATCTCTTGTTCCTCGATCGAATCGTGGAATATCATCTTCATGTGGAATGCTTGTTCCACGGGATTTGGGAAGACCATAGTTGTCGCACTTTGACATCTACGAAACGGGAGAAAATGAATTCAAGTTAGTTGATGATTGAGTCCTTAGTAAATCACCCAAATGAGATACTAAGGCTAGGACCAAACACAATACGCTACAACCTAGAAAAGGGAATTTAAGTTTTAAATCTATGAAAACTCCTAGATCCTTTGAGATTCATTGAACATTTCAATGGCATGTTTAAATCTCGATATGCCCCTCTAATTTGTGACTGGGATGCCGAGGATCACAAAGCGGGTGTGAGTAACCATGCAAACTTACATGGTGCCCTCACATGTTATTATCACCTATTCGATGTGCCGATAAACCACACACGCTCCACCGAACTATGACAAACATTGAGTCACCATTTGCTACCTTTTGCTTAGAACCATTTAGTGTGCCGGTAAACCACACACGCTCCACTAATGTCTTTGCAAGGGTACAAAGTGTAATTTCATGGAATTGCATCAATTCACTTTTGCCTAAGTAACTAAGATTGAGAATTTGTAAAACTTTTAGTTACTTTTGTACTTTATTATACTTATAATGGAAGGTTTTGTCCTACCCTACCTGTTCGGCTAACGACCCTCCACTAGTCAAGAGTGCGGTGGGTAAGAGTGGATACCCATTCAATCGCCATTTTATAAGCAATTTCCTTAAACACCCCTTATAGACCAGCTTCGTGAATGAGACCTACTAACGGTAAGACTGACTCTACTCATACATATATATATATATATATATATATATATATATATATATATATATATATATATAATGTTAGACTTTTAATGTTATATATAGTATAAGGTGTATTTCACACTTTTTAAAATACTAGGTGGTCAAATTTAACAATTATACTTTTAATTCAATTAAATTGTGAACCAAATTTTTTTATGGATTTATTAAACCTCTTTTAATTATACACCTTAATTAATTAATAAAAACATAAGGGTGTGATTTGAATGTTTCAAAACAATATTAGGGTTTTAGAATTTAACATTCCTAGTTTAAACTTTTAATCAACTTTAAAATTCTAAAACCTGAGGGCAAGTTTTGAAACATTTCAAAACATTTAGGTTTAGAATTTAAATATAGATCAAAATTAATCTTTTAATCAAAATTTAAATTCCAAAACTTAAGGGCAAATTTTGAAACCTTTTCAAAACATTAGGGTTTCAACTATTTAAATTTCAAAACTAAACCTTTGAGTTCAAATTTAAACTATAAAACCTAAAGGAGAAAATTGAAACTTTTCATAACACAAGGATCAAATAACAAATAATATAAATTAAACAATTAATTACATCATTATCTATATTTGACCTAATTTCAATTTCTTGCAAAATAAGTTACCCGATTAATACAAATAATCCAATCTTTATCATATAAGGAAGTTATTATCTAATCAATTGGTAATTATCTTTTGTTTAATCAAGGATATACTCACAAATATGATTAAAATCGGATTTTAATGACCTAAAACAGACAAGGCAATTATCCATGAGAAAAACAGCAAATCCCAAAATCCCCTCTTTCTGCCGCTTGCACTCGCCGAGTACCCATATGGACTCGCCGAGTTCATCAGGCAGTTTCACAAAAAACGAAATTTTCAACTTGAACAAACATACAAGGCATCAATACAATAGAAACCAATCTAGGCTCTGATACTATTGATGGGTTTTAGTCATAAGAACATCCTATGTGCTCATACAAACCCTACTGCTTGGATCTAGGTTTCTCTATTGTACATGCAATTTATCCAAGACTATAAACCCTAGATCTAGCATATGATAATCAATACAAAATATAATTAGGGTTTAGATCGTACCTTGATTGTTATGTAGTAATAACAATCTCAAATCCTCCTTGTATTGACTTTAGAAAGCTTAGAGTCACAAATGTCACTCCTCTAATGGTTCACAAACACCAAGAGCAAGAGGATGAAGAGGAGAAAAGAAGGAGGCTGCCCAAAACGTGTGGAAACCCTATAAAGAAGCTTTTCCACGTTTTTGGGGTATAAGGGCTCTTTAAATAGTGAGGCTATTAGGGTTATCCAACAAGGAAACCCTAATTTGGATGCTTAAGCCCTAAGCAACCCATGGATTCATTTCCTTAAAGGCCTTGGACGATTTCCAATGGGTTTTCCTATAGAATTCGTCCAACCTTATACTATAAGGCAATCCATAGCCCAATTACTATTATCTTATAATTACAATTCCAATCCCTTAAGTTTAATTAATCTCTTTTAGTCACAAACTTAATTCTTGACTAATATTAATTAAACAATATGATTTCTTCTTTAATATATTACTCCCATAATATATTAATAAATCATATTTAATCCTTTCTCTCCATAATTCATCCTATCAAGTTGCTTTGATGAAGGGAACCCAAAAGGACCATGCACCATTGGGTCAAGTACATACCAAAATAGTTGTGGACTTAGACACTAATCCAACAATATTATATATATATATATATATATATATATATATATATATATATATATATATATAATTTACGATGATTAATTAATCCGGTTGTCTTAATTTGGCAGATGTATTATGAATTTGGAATATTCAGCACAATTTATAGGGGAAAAGATATGCCGAATTGTATTACACAAAGAAGCAATGGGCCTTCAGTATTATTTACCATTTCATCATCTCTTAACAAACCTAGAGGATTTAATTTCTGCTATGTCATCACACATCGATTTCAATTGATCATTATTCATAATATAACAAAAAACCGCACCTGGATGTATGAACATTGCGTTGCCCATGTTAGTGCACGTGAAGAGTCTTACGCGGTGTTAAGCCATTGGATCTTTGGGATGAATGAGATGGAAGGTGGTGACTTGGTTTGTATTACTAGAAGAGATTTGACACCGATGAAGAAGATGTGTTGGGTTATTATAAGTCACCATGGTAAGTTTTTCAAGCTTTTTTCCGTACCTCAAATCAATATAGATGATGAAAACACCAATGAAGAAGATGTGTTGGGTTATTACAAGTCATGGAATCACATCATTGGTGGAGGTCTCACCAAATATTAGCTAACAACGGGAGAATACATCCTAAGCATAGTGAGAATGACTACAAATGATGTCACAACAGCTATGAAATGTTGGTGATTTTAGTGTCACCATGTCATTTTAAGTAATAGGAACTAACATGTGGGCTAAGGAGCTTCATAATTTGTACGCTAATATATGTACGGGGGTTGTACGGAGTGCTCGCATGTATAAGATTGAATTAGAATCCGGTTCGATGACTAGTTGGGGGCCCGGAGGCAACGCCCCTGGGTCCGGAGTTTCCAAAGGGGCCCCTAGCGGGGTCTAAGGGGTAGAGCCCCTAGCTGGGGTCCCGCTGCCACGTCAGCGGGCATGATAAAACTAACGAAACTCGTTATTTTAGGTAACCCTAATCCAGATTATCCTGACTTGCTTCCAAAACAACTAATGACGACCCAACCCTAATGAAACCCTAATCTCGTTTAATATATAAATGGTTCTTCCTCTTTAGAAGAAGGTGACGAATTTTAGCTCTCGTTTTCATCAAATTCTCATAGAATATCTCTATCAAATTAGCTTACGATTTCTGTTCCTAGAATCGTAAGTGTCCATTTGGATTATCTTAGGCTGAATTTCTTGCAATCCAGGCATAGGGTAGAAATATCAGTTCGGAAAGTGTTCTCACGATCCTAGTTGGTATCCAGATCTCCACTACAAGCCCTAATATTTTTTACATGAAATATCGTAAATTAGTTGGAGACCGTACCTACGATAAAGGTAGATATTGTGATGTCCCCAATTTCACGGCCAGAAAAGACCGATTTATTTATTCTTTGTTTTGAAAAATCAGAGTAGTCTCTCAAAGAAAACGTTTGCGAAATTTATTCCCAAAACAAAATATGATAAGAATTTATCAAAGCATTTATTAAAGAAATGTATTTTCATTATCTAACAAAAGCTTGGGATGTCATGTTCCAATATAGACACATAATCATAAACAGAACATACATTTATTTACACCAGTGATTTACATCTCTTTTAATCTCTCAGTAAAATATGTCTTCGTATTGATACCTGTGATACAAAGAAAACTGAGTAGGTCAGGCTAGGGGCCTGGTTGGCATATAGGGTTTTCATCCCACAATATTATATCATATGTTTATATATATAGAACATTCAACCTTGTACAATTTCACCATATAAAGGCAACTCTTATCCCACCACATCGATCCTGACAACGACACGATCTAAACTCTCGTATCTAAAATTTTCCTCTTTACCTGATCCCTACTCACAGATCTAAAAGTATCCTCTGAACCCGATCTATACTCATGGATCTAAAACTAACCTTTTCCCATGATCCATACTCACGGATCTAAACTTCTTGATCCATACTCACGGATCTAAAACTAACCTCCTGATCTGATCCATACTCCCGGATCAATAATTATACCCAATCCATACTCTTGGAATAGGAACAATTAACTATACCTTAATCTTGATCTGATCCATACTCCCGGATCAATAACTATGCCCAATCCATACTCCCAGACTAGGGACAATTAACTTATTTTTAATCCATACTCCTGGACTAATAACAAGTTTTATCTCTTTACCTGATCCGTAATCTCGTATCTAAAAGTAATCTCTTGGTCTAATCGATACCCACGGATCTAAAACTAGCCTCTTGATCTGATCCCTACTCACGGATCTAAAACTAACCTCTTGATCTGATCCATACTCACGGATCTCATCTACCCATGTCCTACCCAATATATTTTTAGTTACAAAATACATATATAGTTTAGCTCATTAAAACCAACATAGTTCGTCCATTCCACCAACATCTCAAATAAACAACAATATATAAACACATAGCACGTATTTCATAGCAAATACTTCATACTTATGTATTAGAAGAAGGTAACTATACATTCACTTGATCAGAAGATGATCGGACAACACTACGGCTTGCAATGGTAGTATTCTTCGGTGAAACCGGGATATCTTCACACACCGCACTTGTTGCAGGCATAGCTTCGGCTCGGAAACTCTTTTCTTCTCGGGATCTTCGGGATTCAAGATTTGATTTGGGTCTCGGGGTTAATACCGGGGCTTCGGGGGGTAAAAATAGGGCTTAGAGAGTGTATCGGGAGTGGGAGAGAAGAGATGGAGCAACCATAATCGGCTGGCCCTTGATTTCTATTTATAGGGAAAATTTCTCATTTCCCATGTCGTGAACAGTAATTTCACGTCGTGGGCTTGATCGCCACTGCATGTGTCATCGCAAGTTGGGTCTGGCAGACTCCAGGAGGCGTCAGATGACATGCCACATCGTGACCATTGATTTCACGTTGTGGTCTCTGACAGTCTTGGGGTTTTGCGCCCCGAACTTCAGAAAATCATAACTTTTGCATACGAACTCTTTTTTTGACGTTCTTTATATCGGCGTGTAGGTGAGATTATGCTCTACAACTCTCGTTTAGACTTCATCAACTAATTGTGAGTCTATTTTTAGTATATTGCTAATATATCATTTTTAGTAGGTTAGGATAGGAAAACTCCATTCGAAATTCATAACTCCTTCATCTGAACTCCGTTTTCGTCTGTCTTTTTACCGTTGCACTACTATTAAATATATCTTCGACTCTTGTTTATATTGTTTTTTGTAGAAATCACTCGATCTCAAATTGAGTTTTTGGGTTGCATACCGCTAAGTTGAAACTTCAGAAAATCATAACTTCTTCATGCGAAGTCAGATTTGGGCGTTCTTTTTATGCACCCTCTCGGTTTAACGAACACTACAGATTTCGTTTAGATCACTAAGGCTAAAAATCGGTCCAACGTAAATTCACACTTTACGTCATTCAGTGTTGTGCCGGTTCTGTTGCGAAACTTCGATAAGTCATAACTTTTTCGTTATAACTCGGATTTCGGCTTTCTTTATGTGTATGGATCCTTGTAACATATACTAAAACATAGTTAATATTATTCATCCTAAATAATCTTCTATCAAAACATCATTTTTCACGCTTATCGTCTCTAAATTGACTATCCCTGATCTACGGGCGTTACAATTATCTCCCCCTTAGGATGACTAACGTCCCGCAATCATCAACGAAATAGGACTTGCATAATAATTTCACATGTTATTTCTTCATCCTAGGTAATAACCGTAACTTCTATGTTTTCTTCGAATGAGTTCCCAACTCTAGGGCTTCCTGACTGTAGGCGATGCTCAATCATGCATCTGATTTTCGTATTATGTTGTACTTTCAATCATAACCTTCAAGTTACAAAATAAGTCCTTATTGTGGACTCCATCTTCATCTTAGGATAAGTACTTTCGTTTATCTATTGCAACAGACCGATGGGTCGTGCTCTATTGACCTCTCATTGCATGATGTGATGCTTAGACTCAGTCTTTTTAAAGTTAAATTCCAAAATGGAATATACCTTCCTTCATATTCTAATGTGATATATCCACATTTCAGCATGTAGCATTTCTACCTGCAAAATTCTTTTAACAAGGAGCGCGATACTATCGATCACATTAATTTCAACCTTCGGACTTAAGTCAGATGTTACATCTAACTTGGTCCTCTAGATCATGTAACATACTCCTCGCAGTCGAACTCAAACTTATATGACCACTAGGGTCGGAATAACAACCATCTAACTGGTCATTACCAAAAAAAGGGTAATGGCACACTCGGATAAAATGGAATCAATTATAGCTTCTTGGTTACCTTGTGACTTTCCCGGATCAAGTGTGAGTCATGTGCTTCTGGTAGTATTTGTATCTACTACCTTTCACACCTACTCATACTTGTCCCAAGTATTGTCCTGCAGTCGACCAAGTCACCATAAAAGAAAATCATACAATTATTCAACACACCATATAACAGAACTAGGGTTTATATTATTTTCTTGAAACTATTACACAAAAGTTCAAGTTCACCCTATACTATGCCTCTAATAGGCTACACCATAAGTTACTATTCACACTGCTACTTCATAACTTGATCTTTGGATATAAAATCCTCATCCTTGATTCCTCGCGTTATCATCTACTTCATCAAGGTTCATTTGAAATGTTCTTGCCTTTGGCTTTGGCGGCACATTTGGCTTTGTAATCTCTTCCCTTCTTGGGCAGTTTTGCTTGAAGTGTCCTTCTTCGCCATACTTAAAGTAGGCTTCTTTTTTGTTTGTGCATTCACTGGCATAATGAACAGTCTTCCCACATTTGAAGCAGGATATTTCTTTAGAGCATCTCCTAATGTGCTTCCTCTTGCACTTATCACACCATTGTGCATCTTCGAACTTCTTCAAACCAGTCTTCGAAAATTTTCTCTTCTCATTGGACCTTGAGGATCCTTCAAACTTTCTTTTCTCACCAACTTCAACCATGCTGGTGGTTCTTCCCTTAATCATATCTTCCACAGACTTAGTAGCCCAGATAGCTGTCTCTAGAGTAAGTGCCTGATGCACTGGCACCGCATACTCCCATGGGAGTCCCTTCGCGTACCGGTCAACTTTAGTCAGCTCATCTGGGATGATGCACAAAGCAAACTCCATCTTGTCTGTGAAGGAATTAGTGTATTCATCAACTGAAATGCTTCCTTTTGCCAATGTCAGAAACTTGTTCTACAATTATAGAAGATTTTGGGCCGAGCAATACTTGCGCTTGAATTGGACCAAGAACTCTGCACAAGTCAGTTGCAGTGGCTCATTAGGGATTAGGGTCTTCCCACAGTGTTCCTCCAACGAACAGCGCCACCTCTGAACTGACGTACTGCGAACATGATCTGCAACTTGTCTCTGCAACCACACGTCATGAAGGCTAGCCCCTTTTCTGAGATCCAATCCATCACTCCGATCGAATCCTCTTTTCCAGTGAAGGTCGATGGTTTACAAGTCAAAAAGTCTTTGTACTTGCATCCAAGCCCATCAATTCCTCCCGCTTGTTTTTTTTGTCTGACCAACAGTGGGTTGGTTTGACCAACAATCCCACTGAAGTTACCTCCTTCTGAATGCCTTTC